GCTTCAAATCTTCCCACAATCTTCCAAGTCTTATTTATTTGTTTTTTTTTTTCATTCTACTTTTAATAGATAGGTTTTATTAGTGCATCACTGCTACAGATCTTCCAGTCAAATGAACCCCATTTTACATGCTTTTATTGACTTGACTTGATTTACAGTGGTGTGAAAAAGTGTTTGCCCCCTTCCTCATTTCCTGTTCCATTGCATGTTTGTCACGCTTAAGTGTTTTGGAACATCAAACCAATTTAAACAATAGTCAAGGACAACACAAGTAAACAAGTAAAGGTGTTTATTATTAAAGGTGAAAAAAAATCCAAACCATCATGGCCCTGTGTGAAAAAGTGATTGCCCCCCTTGTTAAAACATACTATAACTGTGGTTGTCCACACCTGAGTTCAATTTCTCTAGCCACACCCAGGCCTGATTATTGCCACACCTGTTCACAATCAAGGCATCACTTAAATAGGAGCTGCTTGACACAGTAAGGTCCACCAGAAGATCCTTAAAAGCTACACATCATGCCGAGACCCAAAGAAATTCAGGAACAATTGAGAAAGAAAGTAATTGAGATCTATCAGTCTGGAAAGGGTTATAAAGCCATTTCCAAAGCTTTGGGAGTCCAGCGAACCACAGTGAGAGCCATTATCCACAAATGGCGAAGACATGGAACAGTGGTGAACCTTCCCAGGAGTGGCCGCCGCCCAAAATTACCCCAAGAGGCGCAGCGCGACTCATCCAAGAGGTCACAAAAGACCCCACAACAACGTCCAAAGAACTGCAGGCCTCACTTGCCTCAGTTAAGGTCAGCGTTCATGCCTCCACCATCAGGAAAAGACTGGGCAAAAATGGCCTGCATGGCAGAGTTCCAAGGAGAAAACCACTGCTGAGCAAAAAGAACATCAAAGCTCGTCTCAATTTCTCCACAACACATCTTGATGATCCCCAAGACGTTTGGGACAACATTCTGTGGACCAATGAGACAAAAGTGGAACTCTTTGGAAGGTGTGTGTCCAAGTATATCTGGCGTAGAAGGAACACTGCATTTCATAAAAGAACATTATACCAACAGTAAAATATGGTGGTGGTAGTGTGATGGTCTGGGGGCTGTTTTGCTGCTTCAGGACCTGGAAGACTTGCCGTGATAAAAGGAACTATGAATTCTGCTGTCTACCAAGAGATCCTGAAGGAGAATGTCCGACCATCTGTTCATGTACTCAAGCTGAAACGAACTTGGGTTCTGCAGCAGGACAATGATCCTAAACACACCAGCAAGTCCACCACCGAATGGCTGAAGAAAAACAAAATGAAGACTTTGGGTGGCCTAGCCAAAGTCCTGACCTGAATCCTATTGAGATGTTGTGGTATGACCTTAAAAAGGCCGTTCATGCTCGAAAACCCTCTAATGTAACTGAATTAGGACAATTCTGCAAAAGTAAGTGGGCCAAAATTCCTCCAGGACGCCGTAAAAGCCTCATTCGCACGTTATCGCAAGCACGCTTGGTTGCAGTTGTTGCTGCTAAGGGTGGCCCAACCAGTTATTAGTTTTGGGGGCAATCACTTTTTTTACACAGGGCCATGATGGTTTGGATTTTTTTTCACCTTTAATAATAAACACCTTCATTTACAAATTGCATTTTGTGTTTACTTGTGTTGTCCTTGACTATTGTTTAAATTGGTTTGATGTTCCGAAACACTTAAGTGTGACAAACATGCAAAGGAACAGGAAATGAGGAAGGGGGCAAACACTTTTTCACACCACTGTAACTTGTTTTTCTTGTCTAGATATGACATGACTGGATTTGATTTGACTTGACTTGATTTGATTTGACTTTACGTGATTTGACTTTACTTGATATAACTGACTTGACATGATTTGTTTTGATTTGACTTGACTTCCTTTTATTTGAGTTGACTTAACTTGCTTTTCTTCACTAGATATGACGACTTTATTTGACTTGCTTTTCTTGTCTACATTTGACAACTTGATTTGATTTGATTTTACTTGTGGTGACTTGCATTTCTTATCTAGATATGACATGACTTGACTTGATTTGACTTGCCTTGACTTCCTTGGCTTGGCTTGCTTGACTTCCCAAAGTCCAACATCTTGACATATCATATATCAAAAGGTACTGTAATATATAAAGTGGCCTCAATGCAGTGTTTCTTTGTATGTTCTTCTTTTAAACAAGTCAGTAGTCTATTAAACAATCTAGGCTTGTCTAAATCTTTCACAGAGGTCCTGAGTTACAGCTATTGTTATGAATAATGAATAGCTATGAACAGGAATAATCCACTTAACTGACACACAGTGCACACTCAGAAATGCAGGGGTGTGCTGGGCTGGGTGGTTCCTTGGCTGTGTGTGTGTGTGTGTTTATTGATCTTGGGATCAGCTTGGTATATGATCTGAATACCTATTAATTATTCAAAGTAATTTATTATATAATTTAACTATGTATAAGTTTTTAAAAAGCCAAATTCTGTGATTAAACCAGATGTTTATACTGGTTTACCAGTGCAACTATGTAGGAGTGTGTGTGTGTGTGTGTGTGTGTGTGTGCGTGCATGCGTGCAGCATATTGGGAGCATAAAGCATAGTGCTGTCCGGATACAAAGTCACATGACTTCCTGTCGATACACCAATAGACAGGAAGAGGGCTGCTTGCTTGGTGAAAATCTTTGCTCATCTTCCAGCATGATACCTTTCTACCTTACCACAAATGATGATAAAAAAAAAAATATCACAGTTTTCAGAGCTGCCACACGTTACTCTGATAATCCAGCTCATGCTGGTGTTTGTCCCTCATTTCAGCTAGTCATCATGACGAGTTCTTTATTATTATTATTATTATTATTATTTTAAATAAGAAACCATAATTGAATCTGCAATACTTTACAATTTACTGAGCCTTTTAAAAGGAAGGTTCAAGTTTCACACTGAACTTGCTTCACCTGCTTTCTCCACCCATTTACTAAGCAGCACTGCTCCACGGATTTGTGTGTACTGTAAATAGAAGCTGCATGGACAATGATACTTTGTGTTGACTACAAATACTGAAGCCTCATGTCTTGCCTGAGGGTGTCTAACATTAATATTATAATCACATACCATAGTTGTTTACAAGAATAACGTTTGTTGTCAAAATTGGCTTGGCAGGATGACAATATAGTATAAATGTCTAAAGAGTATGAATCATAATAGAGTGAAAAAGAGGCCTGTTAAACTTTCCACACTCACACACCCCTTGAAAGGAGGCCAGATACAAACACACACACACACACACACACACACACACACACACACACACACACACACACATAAATGGCCTTGTCTCCATGGTGTCATGACCAGCTGAAAGAATGAGCACTGTAATGCCAGTTACGCAAGTTCTTGATGAGTCCTGATATACAAAATTCATCCTCATTCATCTTTTATGCAAGACTGTTCATCTGATCTGCTTTTATACAGTGTCTTATGTCCCCAGATCCATTCATTCGTAGTAAGTTCTGGAAACACAGTCATTGTGCCTAGGCGGTCACACCCAGAACCAACTGCCCAACCACACTCACACACACACACACACAGGTCTGTGGTTTATTTCTGAAAGAGCGCATACCTGGTCTTGTGGTAACATGAGCCCTGCTAAAGAAACCTGAGAGCAGACTTGATGGTGAACTTGATTAAAAGCCATATAAATGAATCTTATGTACATCGTTGTAAAAAAAAAAATGTTAGTTAGGAAAAGAGGGCAAAACTATTTTTCATTTCACAGCATTTAAACATATTTCATGCGTCTTAGCAACACTGTCTTTCAAATTAAGAAGCATTTTACAAAACATTAAAAAGTTCACATCAGTTATTCATTCATTCATCCCTCATTCATAATGTCAAGGTTGAAGGCCATCTCGATCTCAGGAACACCGAGTACAAGGCGGGAATACACACATTCACACACCCATTCATACCTAAAGGTAATTACATCACAAATTCACCCACTGGTGTGTTTTCGGGAGGTGGGTGGAAACTATGTATTGAACGCCTAAGAAGAAAGGTTATGCCAAAAGAAATAAAAATGAGTAATCCTCAGAGCTGCTTTCCCGAGAAGGAGAAACCGGCTGATCATGAATGGGTTGAAAGCGGCGTTTCTCACTGACGGATAGTGAGACCAGTAATGTTATAAAAGAAACTGTTTGAATCAACAGCTCTCAAAGGGTTATTTGATGTGTCAGGATTTCACATGTTTGTTTATAGATAACTATTGCTGTAACTCGCCAAGTGAGCTATTGAAACAATATGGATAGCCTGAGATTCTGGGAGGTACATGATCTGGCTACAAATTAATTATTCAGAGTCATGTATATCATTCTTCTATGTATATATATTTTTAAAAAACCTAATTCTGTGATAAAACCACAAACTGTGTTAAACTGTTACCGGATGAGCTGTGGTTTGCTTGGTGGGCAGTTGTTAGGGTAGATGTTTATGTCTGCTTACTAATGTAAGTAGGTAAGAGGTTTTGTGTGTGTGTGTGTGTGTGTGTGTGTGTCTGTGTCTGTGTGTGTATGTGTGTAGAAGCCCAAGATGTCATGGCTCAAGAGATCATCAAAATCATTCTAATGTGTTTGGAGTTCAATTTATAAAAACTTCTAAATTCTAACAAAAGCTGACATGAAAGCTGTAAAGTTTCTGACATGGGAAAGTCTTCAACATGGAGATAAGTGATGACCGGAACTAACTTGTTTCATGGATGTTCCACAATGTTAAATATGAACATTAATAGAAAACAAACATGACGTGATGTCCACACTAGCGAACAACTCCATCCATTCATTTTCCATGGCGTTTATCCTACACAGGGCCGCAGGGAGCCGATCCCGGGGGACTCTGGGGACGCGACAGGCAACCTATCGCAGTGCAGAATCACACACAACAGACAATTTGGACATGCCAATCAGCCTAGAATGCATGGGGAGGACGTGCAAAATCCACACACACACGGCAGAGGTGGGGAATCGAACCCCCAACCCCAGAGCTATGAGTCAAACATGCTAACCACTAAGCCACCATGTCCATCATGTTCTTTAATTAATAAATAGGTGATGTTATTAAATTGGTGTGGTATAAGTAGAATAAAACACTGTGTTATAGGAAAAGAATCAGAGTGGTAAAAGGAAGTTCATTGTTTGCTGGGCTTCATCACTCCACCCGGTTGTCAGTTATTTCCCTATAACAGCTCTCCTTAAACTGTTCTATTGCCTTCCTAGTTGCTGTGTTAATGTTAAAGCAAGCAATCTTTAGTTTAGCTAAAAAAAATAATAATAAAAAAAGCTGTGTTTGTTCTGAAAGAATCACAAGCTTGTGCGCTAGAGTTCAAAAAGAGACAAATTGATGTTTGACGGGAATTTGCTTCTGCGTCCTACCAGTAAGAAGGGAGTCCCTAGAAGATTGACCCTAGTTCATGGAGCTTGTTTTCTTTGTTAAACAGTTGAGAAAGTGTGTTTTTCCCCTCGTTCTGATCATAATCTAAATTTGATCCCACATGGGAGGATCCTGTTTGTTGTTTGGTTTGTCCTTCACATCCTGCACACAAACGTATAAATCTGGAGGCTTGATGTTTTGAGTTTCACTAGATGGCAGCACACAAGAGTCAAATGTTTCATGGCGTCTGCACTAGAAAACACTACCACTAGGGTTAACATGTCTGTGAAAGTCTTCTCTCTTTACCAGAAGGAAATGTATACTCAATTATTTTATAACTATTAATCAGTTGTTAAGTGCTGGGACGACCTCTTGGATGTACAGTAAATCATTTCTCAACACCTTCTACAACACGTTACAAGTCTGCAAACATTCTGCTCAATTTGCTCATTAAACGGTTTCACAATCCTAATTGGTTTATGACTGATAATCCAGATTTCAGCTTGACTGTGATTGATTGTGCATCAGTGAACTGTTTCCTGTTTGATAATCACAGTGCTTGCACCTCTGTGCATTATGCAAGTTAACTAGTCTGAGCCTGGCTCTCATGACACCCATTACAGTGTGTGCCGAGTTCTTTGTTTGCATTTTGTTTTCTGAGCAACCAGGAACGTCTAAAGTACAAGTCAGTCATACTGTATATACTGGGTAGCACTTTAAAGGCAGTACTTGAAAATATCTTTTAAAACGTTTTGAAAAAACCGTAGCTCAAGTACATGAAATCCCCCCCCTTTTTGGAGAAAGTTTCTTTGTAATAATCAAAAGAATCCATCTGGTCTTTTTCATTTTTATTTTATTTTATTGCAGAACACACAAGAACCAGGACTTTGGCTAATTGCACCAAAGCAGCCTCCATAAAACCATCCTTAAATAGTCTACCCATAACCTTTTGCACAACAGCAGGTAATAAGGTTCCATCTAACCGAGATCTAGATAATCAATTACACTCATTCACTTGCATGCTTCTGGAAGAATCCAGACACGGGTTTTCTTTCTTTCATTGATTAGTGCCAAAGAGAGTGAATTTTATTGTGTGAGTCAACTGTCCAGAAACAGGTCATTCTACAGATTGAAATTGTACATTTGAGTGCAAGTTTGTGTACACTTATTACAAAATAAAGAAGACGTTTGGTTTGGAATTACAAACTGTCCTTCATTATCACAGATTATAGATTATATAAAATTTAGTCTCAGTCAAATAGACTTTTATTGCCATTTCTCACACACAGAAGCAATATTATGAATTAACTATAGTTACGATGAACATTGGGCAACATGGCACATCAACTATGCACTATATAATAGACAGTGTGGTAAAGTATATGGTAAACATTACGCACTACAGGAAACTGAAAACTCTATTGCACAGTAGTAGTGATAATGTCGATAGTTCTGCGTGTGCATGTTTGCATCTCCATTTCTGAATTTACACTTGACATCTGAATTTAATTGACATCTGAACAGCACACCTATTTTGCTCATTAAACGGTTTCAATGCTTCAACGCTTGTTGAACATCCAATTCCAGATTTAATTCCCTCTTTGCTGTTATAATAATCTCCAATCTTCTGGGAAGGCTGTCCACTATATTTCCCTTGTAAATTACAACAAAACGATAACCTATTGAGATGAGTGCTTTACTATAAACCTGTGAGTTTAACTATGCTGTTAAAGAAAATGAATTAACACCATCTGACCAATCAGATTTGAGAGTTCAACAGTGCTGTGGTGTAAGAAAATTTTTTTTTAAAGTATTTGGCAATGTACTGTCTCCACATATTAGCAATTATGGTCTTTACAAGCTACTGTAAAACATATTGTCACATACGTGTCACCAGTCATCTTAGTGATCACAACAGCAGATCCACTGGGGACTTATTTGATACTTGAACAGATTTGGATGAATGCCACATGTTTGTTTGCTCTTCTAAGATCTTCAAACTAGTGTAATGTGTCTTTACAGGAACCACAGACTGCAGATACTCATGTGGACTAATCAGAAAACTGAACACGAGCAGTGGGTGAGAGATCAGAAGGGCTGATTGTTCATTTTTACTCAAGACCTTGGCACTGATCCACAGTTCTGATGTCACACGATTGTGGTTATGTAAATATAAATAGGTCAGAGAGCTTCCACTGACCTGGTTAGGAAGTTCCAGTCTTCCTTAAACTCACTTAATTCATTTCACATGGTCACCAAGCATCATTAATATGATTGCCAGTGTCTCAAAAAAAAAAAAAGACGCGTATTTGAGATAACGACAATCAAAACACTGAGTTTAAGGGAGGTTAAGAGTGTACCTTTCTAACCAGGTTAATGAGAGGGTCTCTGGATGTACTAGAGATTTGCATGGAAATAGCCGTGTAACACTGTAATAAGTGTTGAGTTCAGCATTAGTGTGAAGTTAATTCAAGTGAAGCTCTGTGTCCCACAAGAAACCACAGTTGTTGCTCAAACATCCTCCTCCATGACTCCATGACCTTTGTTAACCAGATGGAGATGTACATGAGTTAAAATGTTGTCAGTCGTAAATGCAGGACTGAGGTATTCATTCATCCAGGTGGCTCCAGAGCCTATCCCGGGAAACACTGGGCACAGGGTAGGACAAGTTAATCACAAGACATATCACAGACATATTCTAGACCTAGGGGCAATTCAGATTATCCAAAACACACCACCATCATGCTTCTAATAGGTAGGAGGAAACCAGAGTATTCAGAGAATCTCCACATGACCACAGAGAGAACATGCAAAACTACACACAGGCAGAAAGCTAAGCTGGAGTCAACCCTGGACTCTGAAGATGTGAGGGACCAACATGAACAAGCTGTTGAACAGTTTTAAATAATAGTATTAATTAAATGCTAAAGTAATTGAATAGCTGCATAGATTTTGTGATGAATAAATACTGACAGCTCCCAGCATATTTCCTTCCATTTTGGCGTCTTGTACACATTTTGATATGCTATGGGCGTCTCTATTTCTTCAGGAAAATAAATATTACTAATAAATACACTGTATTCTCAAATGATTGTTCACACGTTATCCAATTTGATGACGTGATATATTTCAGAGAGCCATTCATTCATCTTCAGTAATCGATTTAACCTGGTCAGGGTGGTGGTGGATCTGGAGTCTAACTCGGGAAAAATGGGCGTGAGAAGGGAATACACCTTGGATTAGATTCCAGCACATCGCAGGGCACACATTAACACACTCATTAAAACTTGGAGGCACCAGAGTTAGAGTCACCAATTTCTGTACTGGCATGTTTAGGCGGTAAGAAGAAACTAGAGAATCAGGAACAAACCCACACAGACATAAGGAGAAAGTGTCAAACTCCGCAGGAATTAACCTGAGCTCAGGATTGAACCCTGGAGCTGTGAGACGACAATGCTATCTGCAGCAAATATCAGTCTATTTTAGTGCAAAACCTTCAGGTGTCTGCTAGTAATCTGAAGATGAAAAGTGATTTCACTCTTCAGCACGATAATGACCCAAAGCATACATCCAAACCGCTTAGGAATGGCTTAACCAAAAGAGGATCAATGTTTTTGAATGGTCCAGCCAGAATCCAGACCTGAATCCAACTAAAAATCTGTGGGGTGACCTGAAGTGGATTGATGCCCTCACAATTTGTTGGATCTAGAATGCTTTTGCAAAAAAAGTGAGAAAATATCACCAAGTCAAGATGTGCTATGCTGATAGACACTTACCCAAAAAGACTGAGTCGTGTAATATAGGGGTGTTCACACTTATACAACTAACTTCTACTTTTCCTCATTTTTCCTAAAAAATTTCTGATTGGTTTTCATGTAATTTTCAGACGTTGTAGTTCCACATTGAGGGTGGGAAAAATTCTGACATGATTTACCTTGGTTTAATTTTTTTACATCATAAAAACCTTTTTAACAGGGCTGTGTAGGCTTTTTATATATATATATATATATGTGTATATATATATATATATATATATATATATATATATATATATATATATCCACTGTATATTTAAGATTATGGTGATCAGTATGGGTGCGTCTCGTTTTGTCCTGCTATAGGTTCTGGGGAAATTGCGGTCCTTATCCTCCAGCAGCACACACTCTGTTGAAGATAAAAGCCTTGCGGCTGGAGTCTAATGCATTGCTACAGAAGTTCAAGAGAATTAAATTTCTCGGATATGTGTTTATTTTGTGTATTTTTTGACTCATGTCCAAGGACGGTAAAAGAACTGAATTGCTTTAATCAAGAAACACTTCAACTGCTCATCTGAACACTCGTAAGATTTGGCTCACAGTTTCAATTTCTGGACCCAAGTTTACATATACAAGAATAAACTTGCAACGAAAGTGATGTCTGCCTCATATCAAACGCTGATTTTAGTTTCTGATGGAAAATGAGGTTCACACTCACCGAAGGAAATAAGGAATGTGGCAAAATATTAGCTAATGCTAACTAACGACAGCCTTATTGCAAATCTCGTAAATGTTATCTATGTTATCTATGTCTCGTACATATTATTTATGTTAAGTGTGTGAATTTATCCCTATTGAGCAAGTCGGTGGAGATGATATGAGGAAGAAACCTAGTGA